CGGGTGGGGGGGGGGGGAGGGCTGGGGGGCTGTGTGTGTCTTAGGGTGATATCTGTGAACCCCATACATAGAACTTGAGGCCTCTAATGATATTGCCCCGGTGCATTCTCTGTTGCAGTGGCAGGGCACAGTTTGCGGGTTACACCCGGTAATGCAATAATATCGCCTGCTATTGTCCTTGGGCCTGGCAGGCAAAGGTATTGTTCATCCAGAGGAAGGATCTATTTATCCCAGGACTTAGCTCAGGTTAATACAATGTTTATCTACAGAATTCAACGCGGGAGAGTTTCAGAATGTCTTCCACACTATACTAGGTGACTTTAGACCTGAAGGAGGAAGGGAACAGCTTGGGACAGCTCACAGCAGTTCACTACCATAGACATGATAGACATGTCAACCTAGTTTACCAGCATAGACAGGTAAACCTAGTTCACCAAGATAGGCATGTCAGTCTAGATTACCACCATATGTATAGCAACCTATGTCAGCACCATAGGCAGCTAAACCTAGTTCATCATAGGCAGGTAAACCTAGTTCAGCACCATAAGCAGGTAATCCTAGTTCAGCACCATAAGCAGGTAATCCTAGTTCAGCACCATAAGCAGGTAATCCTAGTTCAGCACCATAAGCAGGTAATCCTAGTTCAGCACCATAGGCATGCAGGGCACAGTTTGCGGGTTACACCCGGTAATGCAATAATATCGCCTGCTATTGTCCTTGGGCCTGGCAGGCAAAGGTATTGTTCATCCAGAGGAAGGATCTATTTATCCCAGGACTTAGCTCAGGTTAATACAATGTTTATCTACAGAATTCAACGCGGGAGAGTTTCAGAATGTCTTCCACACTATACTAGGTGACTTTAGACCTGAAGGAGGAAGGGAACAGCTTGGGACAGCTCACAGCAGTTCACTACCATAGACATGATAGACATGTCAACCTAGTTTACCAGCATAGACAGGTAAACCTAGTTCACCAAGATAGGCATGTCAGTCTAGATTACCACCATATGTATAGCAACCTATGTCAGCACCATAGGCAGCTAAACCTAGTTCATCATAGGCAGGTAAACCTAGTTCAGCACCATAAGCAGGTAATCCTAGTTCAGCACCATAAGCAGGTAATCCTAGTTCAGCACCATAGGCATGTCAACATAGTTCAGCACCATAGGCAGGTAAACCTAGTTCATCACCATAGGCAGGTAAACCTAGTTCACCACTATAGGCATGTCAACCTAGTTCACCACCATAGGCATGTCAACATAGTTCAGCACCATAGGTAGGTAAACCTAGTTCACCACCATAGGCATGTCAGTCTAGTTCAGCACCATAGGCAGGTAAACCTAGTTCACCACCATAGGCAGGTAAACCTAGTTCACCACCATAGGCATGTCAGTCTAGTTCAGCACCATAGGCAGGATAGCGCAACCCCCCCATTCATTACCTTGGACAGCCCAATCCCTATTTCTTTACTTTGGACATCTCAACACCTTCATTCATCACCTTGCTCAGCTCAAACCCAATTCAACCCTTTGGATAGCTCAACCCCCAAATTGATCACCTTGCTCAGCTCAAACCCTAATTCCTCATCTAGGATAGCTCAACCCTCAATTTAGCACCTTAGAGAACTGGCATCAAGTTCATCAGCACCTTGGATAGCTCACACCCAGTTCAGCTCCAGCTGACCAACTCCACTGCACACTATGGAATTAACAGCTTCAGCACCGAGTAACCTTTTACTTGGCATATATAAGGTTTTGTAAATGACAAAGAAAAGAAAAAAAAACATATATATATATAATTTGGAAAGTAGTCTATGAAACCGATATGACCAATAATACAGGCAATTTATATATTTAGGTCTGTGTTGGTGTGCTTAGGCTTTGTGTGTGTGACGATTAATAGGACATTTTATAATGTAATATAAGACTTGGGTAAATTAGAACCTTATAATCAAATATTTCTTTTAATTATACCTAATTTTCTTTAAAAAAATTCTGATACATATCTAACACACAGACAAGGACAGATATAGATAGATAGATAGATAGATAGATAGATAGATAGATAGATAGATAGATAGATAGATAGATAGATAGATAGATACTGGTATATAATTTGGAAAGTAGTCTATGAAACCGATATGACCAATAATACAGGCAATTTATATATTTAGGTCTGTGTTGGTGTGCTTAGGCTTTGTGTGTGTGACGATTAATAGGACATTTTATAATGTAATATAAGACTTGGGTAAATTAGAACCTTATAATCAAATATTTCTTTTAATTATACCTAATTTTCTTTAAAAAAATTCTGATACATATCTAACACACAGACAGAGACAGATATAGATAGATAGATAGATAGATAGATAGATAGATAGATACTGGAGAGGGGGAAAGTAAAACTTGAGCAAAAGACTTATTATTTAATTGAATATTATAAATCCTTTAATTTGAGGAGAAGGACTGTTTTGTCGGTATCAATATAAAGGAACCATCGGGTTTATATGGTCAGTGTCATTGGATGGGTGTCTCTCTGAGAGAGGACAGGTAAAGACCATGGGGGGTCTTTCTCAGATCCAAAGTTTACTGTCTTTTTTTTTCCTTCTTCTTGAACTCATTTTTTTTATGGCTCAGAAAATGCCGCAATGACTCCAGCGGAATTGGAAAATTGTCTCCCATCCCACAATTGCCAACCCCCTGTGAAAATGCATTCAGGTAATGAAGTCTGTAACTAAACGGTAATTGAATCAGCATAATTTGCACACTGAATGGTTTTCAAATGCTCCCAGTTTACAATTAAAGCAGAATTAATGCGGCTTGTGTTGTTATAGGGAATCGTTCTAGTTCTGCGCTTACAAAGACGGTTTGGCGCAAGGCGTGCACGACAGTCCCATTAAAAGTTTTTCATTTATTTATTTATTAGGCATTTTTCTCATCCTGCTTGTGAAAGGTCCGGATTTCCTATTTATTCAGGATGTTCATGGCTCTGGCTTCTGCAGTGGAGGTAAGGTCCCTGGACGCCAGTGGGGACAGACTACTGGGGCTGCTTCGGATGCAAAGGCTAAACTTCTCCATTCCCAGTTCATTTCCAGTACAGTGCTGGTGGCCGTGACAGTACACCGCCTGCTGCTTGTCAATCATATAGACAAGGGTGTCTGTGATAAGAGGCCCCGTGTTATTACAAGTCCCCAAAAAATAAGAGTAGCATAACATTAAGATTTTTAGGGCTCTCTATAAATTGGGAAATAAGCATTGTAGTTTAGAACGCTGCAACTTTTAGGAAAAGTTTGAGGCTTGAGCTGTGCCTTTTTGGCATTGAAAGTAGACCTTATGCCACAAATCATCTACAGCAAGACATATCCGTATATCGGATCGATAGCTTGGGTTGGATGCATGCTTTTATAGGGATTACAGACCTTTTATTGACTTCGTTTTATAACTTTAGGATTAATAATAAAGACAATCAAACTTAAGGCAACGCTAATATTTGTGAGGCTTTTGCAATGTTCAATAGTATAGTTGTAATGCTTTTTAGGAATTATAAATGACTATGAATCTGCAGGGACCATGGAATGGACCAAAGAGGTCTAATATGAGCCTCCGCATGCTGGGGCTTGTAGTTTCCCATCCTCTGAATTGAGAGAGTCTTCACCCAAATCTTTAGCGATGTACTTCTGACCCAGCAGGCTGGGTATCACTGTGCAGTTCCTATGATATTATATGCTATAGATCAGGCATTGCCTAGAATGCTGGGACTATTAGTCCCTCTTATGGTGGAGAGTCGCATACAGCCTTTCTCTGAACTTGCTGGGACTTTTAGCTCTCCAAGCGCCGGAGCAGCAGGAATATCACATTCTGATCTACAGTACTATATAAATCCCATTATTCCGTATATCCTGAGACTAGTAGAACTGCACACACATTTATATATACGGTATATATGTATGAAGGCCCTCTCCAAAATAGATCAGACCCAGCTGTCTGGTCTTGCTGGTGCTTTTAGTTCTCCAAGACCTACAGAAACACAGGGTGCAATAAGTCACGACTGGCTGGCTGCGCATGCTTTGGCTCGTCGTTCACCAACCACAAGATCAACTCTGCATGCTCAGTATCAAAATCCAACTGACACTTGTCGTTCCCCAACCACTGGGGCCCCAAGATCAACTAGTCTGATTTGTAGTTCTTTAGACCAAATCTAGCTGGGACCTTTAGTTCCCCAACCACTGGAGCACTAAGGTCACCCCTGTCAGTAGTACTATAGCAAACCATTCCTGCACTCTTAGTTGCCCAATCTCATGGAAGCCCCGATCACGGGTGGTCTAGTCTGGTCTTGTCAAAAGTTCTGTATGCCAAATCCAGCTGTGACTTTTAGTTCCCCAACCACTTGGGAGCCCAGATCATCCCTGGTGTGGTCTGGTCTGTAATCCTGTATACCAAACCCAGCTGGGACTTTTAGTTCCCCAACCATGCTTGAATGCCCAGGTCGTCCCTGGTCCGTAGTTTTGTACAACAAACCCAGCTGTGACTTTTAGTTCCCCAACCACTTGGAAGCCCAGATCAGCCCTCGTCTGTAGTTCCTTATGCCAAATCCAGCTGGGACTTTTAGTTCCATAACCACTTGGAAGCCCAGATCATCCCTGGTGTGGTCTGGTCTGTAATTGTGTATACCAAACCCAGCTGAGACTTTTAGTTCCTCAAACACTATAGGGAGCTTGATCCTGTGCGTTTTCCCATCCGTCCCCCCGAGTTGAGCAACATCTGTAAAAAGTCAAATGCATGCGTCGTTCCTAATGGTGAGCATTGGCACAGAAGGTAAGGTAGGCACGGCAGGTATGGCACTCACCAGCTGCAGGGTGGACTGGAGCAGTAGCGCTGACACACAGTATACAGCATGCATCCTCCTGGATGGGACTTCCTCCCCGATTCTCCTGCCTTGGGTGTCTAATATTCCTCCAGGAACATAAATCCACCAGCTGACATCCACTTCACAAAACCTTCACAGCTCTGGGCAGCCTGGATAAGAAGGACATTGTACAACCCATGACCACACAGGCAAGGTTTAGACTGCTAGACAACGGGAGAGGCAGCACGAGTGGACAAGGGGGGCTCTGCAAACACAAGACGAGCATAGAGAGCACGATCTGCTGAAATGAAGTTAATCCAGCAACTAAAAAAAAAAAGGAAAAAAAAAAAAAAAAAAAGGAGGCGAAAAGATCGAGAAAAAGGGGGGGATGAGATCGCACCGGGGTTGGAATTTGCTGCAGAAATCACTTGTGATCAGTGCAAGTGTGAGTGTTGTGTGTGTTTTTTTTTTTTTGGGAGGGTGGGGGTGGCAGTCAGATTGCAATAGGTTGCTGAATGGGGAATAGGCAGCCCCTTGCTTGCTGGGACTCAGCTCTTTACTGATTGCCTGAGCGGCTGTATTCTGCTATAGCTTGCAGGGGGAGACCAGTCACATCCAGGGCAGCAACATCAGCGGGTGCCAGGCAAAGCATCAAAGAGGGCAGGCTAAGGGGTGCATGGGAGCATGAGGAGTGCAGGGGAAAGTTAGCCTTATAAAAATGGCAAAAGATGCCAAGCAATTAACAAAAAACCCACAACCCACCAACCCTGATACCCACCCATCTTGCCATGCATGCAGTTTTATCTACAACACATAGCATGTTAAAGTCACTTGCCTGTGTGCGCATCTGTAGTGCAGAGGTCCTCAGCGTGTGCACTGTGCACCTGCAGCACCTAACAGCACATAGGCTGTGTGGATGTGTGCTGGTCCCAATGGTGTGTTTTGTTGCTGGATTTCGACCACTGAGCAGCTTTTGCCTTGAGGGATGTAGCAGATAATCCGTTTGCTTGTGGCACACTATGTGGAAAGCACATCTCAAGTCGGTGACTTGACTCCATTTGCCCCCCTAAGAGAGGTTTGGGGCCCTTTTTATTTTACTAGTTTTGGCTCTAATCCATCCATACTGTCCACAAGTATTGTCGTGCATCAGATATAGATTTGGGAATCAGAGACAATTGAAAGGCAGCTGCTTGAACCACGGGATAACCCGAAATAGTGTTAGTTTGCATCGGACTTTGGGTAATTGTGGGGGGAAAATGCAGCAATACCTCACCCTGCCACTAGGGGCTTCCTTTCTCGATATTTCAAGGGGTGACGTGATTATGACAAGTCTAAGGCAACTTTGCTATAGCAAGGTAAGTGAACAGGTCTGGTGGTTCATGAGAAGCAGGCTGGAAATGGATTTTGTTTGGATTTCTCCATGCTGCTTCATGGCACGAAGACCAGTGGAGGAGCTGGTGCCAACTCTGCAGAGTTTATGGATGATTACTTCACTGAGAGGGGCAATGAAGAGCCTGCAACTCCACAGTTCAAATCAACTCCATGGATAGCTGGCTGCCTCTCCCACCATAACCTTCTGCCAAATGGTTGTGTGTATAGGAATAATCAACGACCTTGCCTACAAGAACAGACTATAGACAGGGGGGGTTAATCTGTGTGTTGTCCCCTATCCTGCAACATAACCTTCCTGGTTCTTTCTTTTTTTCTTTCTTTCTTTCTTTCTTTCTTTCTTCTTTCTTTCTTTCTCTCTCTCTCTCTCTCTCTCTCTCTCTCTCTCTCTCTCTCTCTCTCTCTCTCTCTCTCTCTCTCTCTCTCTCTCTCTCTCTCTCTCTCTCTCTCTCTCTCTCTCTCTCTCTCTCTCTCTCTCTCTTCCTCTCCCTCTCTCTTTCTTTCTTTCTTTCTTCTTTCTTTCTTTCTTTCTCTCTCTCTCCCTCTCTCTCACTTCCTCTCTCTCTCTCTCTCTCTCTCTCTCTCTCACTTCCTCTCTCTCTGCCTTTCTTTCTCCCCAGTTTTTTCCCTTCAATCCTTTCTTCCTTTATTTCCTCATTTACCCTCCTTTCATCCTTTTTTTCTTTCTTCCAATCCCTCGTTCTTTCCTTCCTCCCTACCTTAATTCCTTCCTCCCTTCCTTAATTCATTCCTTTCCCCATTCCTTCACTTCTTCCTTCCGTCCCTCCCTCTTCCTTCCTTACCCACCCGTCCGTCCCCCCAACGTCTCCCTTGTTCTCTTCTTTTCTCACTTCACTGTTTCTTTCCTTCCTCATTCCTTCCTTTCCTTCTTCCTTTCCGGCTCCATTCTTACTTCCTCCCCCCTCTCTCCCTTCCTTCTTTTCTCCTTCCTTCCTTCTTTCCTCCCTCCCTCTTTTTCTTCCTTCTATCCCTCCCCCTTCCTTCCCTCCTCCTTCTCTTTCTTTTTTTGCCCCTTCTTCCTTCCCTTTCCCCTTCCTTCCTGCCTACCTTCCTTCCTCCAGCTCTCTGTTCACCTTTCTCTTTTCTGACTTTCTCTATTGCTCAGGCTTGAATAATAAACACGTAAAAGGTAATTATGCACATAAAACCCCAGCAACCAATCACAGAGCAGCAATTATAAATCACACATCTGGTAACTTCTAGCACACTGACCTCTGGTTGGCTACTGGCAAACAATGGTAAATAAGGGGCAAGTCTTTACTTTTGGTGACATTGTGAGCTCAGAGAGAATAAGTAGTTTTCAGGATGATGAATGTTTATCCTCTACAAGCAGCAAGTCAATTTGTAAGTAAAAATAAAAAGAAAGGAATTCATTTTCTTGTCAGTGTGTGAATGTGGAAGAATGTTCGTAAGTCAGCCCTTAATGTGTCCATTAGAGGACGTGGGCTGCAACGGCTGCTGTGGTGCGGCGGATGACAAACTGATCCTTACAGATAAATGGTGACTGTGGGACTCCAGCACAGCTGGGAGAGGTTCTAGCACTCGGCTGACTTACCTGCACTATGGCCGCCGCCAAATTAAACAATTGTCATTGACTGGAAGATATGGGAAGAACTATTTCCTTACAATGATAACACACATACGTAGGTATATCACAGCACTACAGCATTGCCTTGCCCTATTAAGTCACCTCCATTCCATTTAATTTACTTAAAAGGAACCCTCATCAAAGTAAAGGACGTAAAGCCAGCGTAAACATTCACATTCCCTGGGACTTCCAATTTGAAAGTATAAAATGTCGCATTTCAAGTATATATCATTTCAAAAGTCAATTTTAATATTTTCAAATAGGCAGCTTTCACTCAAACAATACCTGTTGATCCTGCCAGGAAGGTCCTTGCTAAGGCCCTTCTTGTTACAGGGTGACAACATTCTGTCCATGTCTCCTAATTGCTCTCCTGTGATGTCACCTTCTCATATGAGCTCTCGATAGAGACTACAAGCAGTGGCTTTATTGCTCAGGTATGGTCCACTGTTGTCACCAGCAGTAACCCAGCCCGGAGAAATGACATGCAGGCATTGCTGAAGTGCATGTAGGCAGGGAGTGGCTGCAAACAGCCTGCAGGAAAATCATGCAAAAGCATAACCATTTAAATGGATCTTGAATGCTCAGCTGGAAGGGGGCTCAGAAGGACACTGATTAGACAGCAAACTCTTTGCTTTTCATTGGTCATAGTGGCTCAGTAGGCTTTACTTTAAGACAGGTTCACTTTCAATGTTACTGACACATTTCAGAGCGCTTCTGGAGGAGCACTGAGCCAATGGCATTGGTCCAAGCAGCACCAGAAAATATATTGTAATTAGGGATGGGCTCGATGTTCAAGTCAAGCGTGAGTTCGACTCAAACTTCGGCAGTTCCCGTGTTCGGGGAACACACAAACTATCAGGGTGTTTGGCGGGCTGTTTGCCCGCCAAATGCCCCACAAGGCGCTGCACACCGCACATTACCTTGTGAGCTCTGATTGGCTAAAGCCATGCACCTGACCACAGGTCAGGTGCAAGACTTTGCCCAATCAGGGCCCAATGCTCTCTAAGAGCCATGATTGGGCAAAGTAACGATGACTTTGCCCAATCATGGCTCACCTGTCAGATGCCGTACAACTGTAAACAGTTGGGCAGAGCTAGCTGTCACCGCCCGCTAGCTAACTTATATTTTGCCGGCATCTGTCAGAATGCCAGAGTTCATCGCAAGCGGACGGGTCGGTGAGCGTCGTTTTATTTTTTAATTATTTCTATTGATTTTTTGTTGTTTTATTTTCTATTTAGTTGAGTCGTCGTTATTGTGGACAACGCTGGACGTCGTGATTGACCCTGGATTGCGTCAGTGGATCCATTTTTTGTTTTTTACATTTGTATAGGTGTATGGCCCTTACACATCTCCCTGCCTGGCTCTTAGCAACCTAGGATGCTCTGGCCAGAAATGGGGCGGCAGGCACAAGGCAAACATTGTGCAGCAGTGGGGGCGTGGCCGGGATGTGAGGCTGAATGGATGTGCTTAGCTGCAGCTCCTCTCATCCGTCCAGCCATCCTGATCTCTAACGGTTCCATCGGTAGTTTCTTACTCACCTTCTCCTGGCGGGGATTCCGGTGACTGTGGACGTCCTCCCCATGCAATCTAAACGAAGATCGGTGAGGTCCCGAGTGAGCGGTGAGACTCCGGGCTCTTCTCCTGTCACACGTGCCGGCGCCATCTTGGCTGCCCGCTCTCTATCCCCCACCAGCACCAGCACTCAGACGGCAGGGTGGGACCACATGGAGCAGGCTCCGGGACATGCAGGCAGTAGCAGCCTCTCTCCTCCTGTGGGCACAGAGCCCCCTGGTGCCACAAATGCCATCCTGGCAGCCATTGAAGCCAGTAAGACTACCTTAAACGCCAGGATGGACACCCTAGCCACTGAGTGCGGCCTAATCCGGCAGGACTTGGATGAAATCCGGGTCGGGTGACGGAAGTGGAGACCCGGGTAGGGACCCTGGAAGATGTTTCGGGGGAACATTCCCAAACCATACGCAGCCTGCAACGCGTGGTAGCGCAGCTGACTGCACGGTCGGATAACGACGAAAATCGGTTGAGGTGCAACAATGTGAGGGTTGTGGGCCTCCCTGAGGGTGGTGAAGGCTCGGATCCCACCTCCTTTGCGGAAGCCTTTTTTAAGGAGCTCCTGGATTTACAATCGGTCTCTGTGGCCTATATAGTGGAGCGTGCACATCCTGTTCCAGTAGGCCAAAGGCCCCCGGGCTCACCCCCCAGACCCTTCCTGGTTCGTCTCCTTAACTTCAGGGATAGAGATCTGATC